TTCAACCCTGGTTTGCTAAACTTGGATAGCCCAGGTCAGTCCAACCCGTTTGACCAGGTCCGACCCGGTCCAAGATCCGACCCGTTTTCCAGGTTCGGTCAGAATACAAAATCTTTTTTTTTTTTTTTTTTTTTGCTGGATTCAACATGGCATCTAGTTCAGATTTACTATCACCCACGAACAGTCTTAATTCTCCCATGACTTAAGTTAAACTTAATGGGAAGAAATACATATTGTGGGCTAAATCTGTTGCCATTTTCCTCAAAGGCAGAGGTCTTGGTTCTCATTTGACTAAAGAGAAACCCAAGGCAACTGATGCCTCCTTTGATGCATGGGAAAAGGAAGATGCTCAGATCTTCTTTATGATGAGAAACAGTATTTAACCCCAAATTAGTTCAACTCTACTTTATTTGGATACTGTCAAGGAGATATGGGACAGATTGCAGCAATTGTATTTTGGGACAGGTTATATCACTCGTGTTTATGAGCTCTGTAAGCAGTACTTCAATCTTGAACAAGGTACTCAAAGTACAGAAGAGTATTATTCCAAAGTTATGGGAGTCTGTGAAGAGCTGAATATGTATCAGCCCATTACAGGTGATGTTCGCAGTATGCAACAACAGCGTGCGGACTTTAATGTTGTCCGTTTTCTTACTGGTTTATCATCAGCATATGAGCCTTTTCGTGCACAGATTATGAGCAGTCCAACACTTCCATCTCTTGCTGAGGTGTTTTCTAGACTTCAGCAAGCTACACTTGCAAGTGATACATCAAATTTGAATACTGGACAGAGTGGTGAGCATTCAGCATTAGTGGTTTCAAAGGGTGAACATAATACTTACCGTGGAGGTCATGGGGGACGCTCCTCACGTGGTGGTCGTGATTCACGTGGAGGACGTGGCCGTGGCAGGGAATTCAGAAAGTGTACCCATTGTGGTCTTTCTAATCATACTGTGAACTTTTGTTGGGATCTTCATGGGAAACCATCTAGTTATGCCAATCAAGTTTCCTCTTCTCCGAATGATGTTGCTTCTGGATCGCATAACGTAGCTGAATCAGATACAGTTCCTGTTCCACAGGATGAGTATACTCAGTTTTTGTCTTATAAGCAAGCATCTAATTCATCTTCCACGACTACTTTTGTCCAGTCAGGTACTGCACACGCATGTCTATTGTCTTCCACTCGCAGTCCTTGGATCATAGACACTGGAGCATCTGATCATATGACCGGATGTTCTTCTCTTCTATCTGATTTTCATTCTGTACATCCTTCTCAAAGTTTTTCTCTTGCTAATGGTTCATCCACTCAAGTTTCAGGTTTGGGGACAACTCAACTTAGTGATTCATTGTCTCTCTCGTCTGTTTTACATGTTCCGCAGTTTCCCTTTAATTTAATGTCTATCAGTAAGCTTACTAAATCTCTCCAGTGCTCTGTTACATTTGATCCTACTTCTTGTGTGTTTCAGGATCTCAAGACGAAGAAGACGATTGGTACGGTCATGAAGCTGGTGGCTTATATTATTTTGATTTCGAACCTTCTCCTGTGGCTCTTCAGTCTTCTCTGTCTCCATTCCAGTGGCACTGTCGCCTTGGTCACCTGTCACTTCAAGTTTTGAAGCGTCAAGTTCCTAGTCTTAGTCATTTGAAATTCTTGTCATGTGAAGTTTGTCAACTTAGTAAGCACCATCGCGTGTCTTTCAAGTCTAGGGTTAATAATCGTGTCTTTAGTCCTTTTCATTTGGTTCATTCAAATGTATGGGGTCCAATAAAACATTCTTTAATCAATAAATTTCATTATTTTGTGACATTTGTGGATGATTATTCTCGCCTAACTTGGTTGTTTTTAATGAAAGATCGTTTTGAGTTATTTTTAATTTTTCAAAAATTTCGCAAAGAAATCAAAACTCAGTTGGATGTCCAATTCGTATTCTACGTTCTGATAATGCTAAGGAATATTCTTCAACTCCATTTGATACATATCTTAGTGATAAAGGAATTATTCATCAAAATTCATGTGTTTATACTCCACAACAAAATGGAGTTGTAGAACGTAAGAATCGACATCTCTTAGAAGTAACTCGTGCTCTTTTGTTTCATATGCGTATGCCTAAACGGTTTTGGGGTGATGCTGTTCTTACTGCCTGTCATCTTATTAACCGTATGCCGTCATCTGTATTAGATGGCAAATCTCCACATTCTATTTTATTTCCTGATTCTCCCTTGTTTTCTCTTCCTCCTAGGGTTTTTGGATGTGTATGTTATGTCCACAATCTTGGTCCTGGTTTTGATAAATTAGACCCACGTGCCACAAAGTGTGTATTTCTTGGCTACTCTCGCTCTCATAAAGGTTATCGCTGCTATAGTCCTGTTTCTCAACGGTACTTTATTAGCGCAGATGTAACGTTTTCTGAGTCCATCCCATATTTTTCAAATACTGATTCACTTCTTGATATCACTCTTGAGTCGCCTCCTTCTGTCGTTCCTTTTCCCTCACTCTCTCTTCAACCTTGATCTCTTGTTCCTTCATCTGCCCCGTTACAGGTGTACACTCGAAGACCAAAGCCATCTGTTGTCGTGCCTCCTCCATCGTCTTCAGAGTCTTTGGATCCGGCGCCTTCCACTGTGTCCGATTCCTTGCCTATTGCACTTCGTAAAGCTCCTCGCTCAGTGTTACTAACCATCCCATTGCTCATTATGTCTCTTATAATTCCTTATTGCCATCATTCTCCTGTTTTTCCTCTAAGTTGTCTACTACATTCGTTCCTAAGATTGTGCAGGATGCGTTGTCTGATTTGGGCTGGAGGAAAGCAATGCAAGATGAAATGGATGCTTTGCATAAGAATGGCACGTGGGATCTTGTTCCATTACCTCCGAATGTCAAACCTGTTGGTTGTCGCTGGGTATAAACTGTGAAGTATCTTTCAGATGGGTCTGTTGAGCGTTTAAAAGCACGTCTTGTTGCCAAAGGTTATACTCAAACTTATGGTATTGACTGTGACGAGACATTTTCTCCCGTTGCTAAGATTTCTTCTATTCGTGTTTTGATTTCTCTTGTTGCTAGACATTGGCCTCTGTTTCAGTTAGATGTTAAAAATGCCTTTTTGCATGGTGACTTAGCAGAAGAGGTTTATATGGAGCAACCACCTGGGTTTGTTGCTCAGGGGGAGTATCTTCACACTGTTTGTCGCCTTAAAAAGGCTTTGTATGGATTGAAACAATCTCCACGGGCTTGGTTTGGAAAATTCTCTGAGGTGGCGTGAAAATTTGGTCTTAAGAGATGTCAGACCGACCATTCGGTGTTTCACCAGTGCGCTAAAGCTGGCTTCATATTTCTTGTGGTGTATGTAGATGATATTATGATCACAGGTGATGATTCTGAAGGCATTGCTAAGTTGAAGTTGTTTCTGCAATATCAATTCCACACTAAAGACTTGGGTAAACTTAGGTATTTCTTGGGCATTGAAATTGCTAGATCCAAGAAGGGTATAAGTTTATCCTAACGCAAATATGTGTTGGATTTATTAGAAGAAATAGGTATGTTGGGTGGTCGTCCGGTTGATACTCCTATGGATTCAAATACAAAACTTGTATCTGATGAGGGTGATCTATTTAATGACCCGGGCAGGTTTCGTCGCCTTGTTGGGAAATTAATTTATCTCACTATCACTCGACCTGATATTTCATATGCAGTCAGTGTTGTAAGTCAGTTTATGGGAGTTCCTAGAATGCCACATTGGATTGCTGTTCTTCGGATTATACGATATCTCAAGAAAGCTCCAGGTTTAGGGTTACTTTATAAATCAAATGGTCATCTCAGGGTGGAAGGTTTTACAGATACTGACTGGGCTGGTTCTCCTTCAGATATGAGATCTACTACAGGCTATTGCACATTTGTAGGAGGAAATCTTGTTACATGGTGAAGTAAAAAGCAGACGGTGGTAGCTCGATCTAGTGCTGAAGCTGAATATAGGGCAATGGCCGATACCACTAGTGAGTTGACATGGATACAACATTTTCTAAAAGAACTTGGGTTGATAGTTGGGCCTCCTACTCCATTGTTCTGTGATAATCAAGCAGCAGTTCACATTGCATCAAATCCTGTGTTTCATGAGAGGACCAAACATATTGAAGTTGATTGTCACTTCATTCGAGAAAAAATATTAAGTGGGAGCATCTCTACTCCATTTGTGAAGTCTAAAGATCAATTAGCTGATATGTTTACCAAAGCATTGGGTCATAACCGGTTAAGAACTATCTGTTCCAAGCTGAGATTATTTGATATATATTCTCTAGCTTGAGGGGGAGTGTTAGAATGTTTTATATATATAAGTGTTGGGCCATTATGTAATTACAGAAAGTTGATAGGGGCCCTTGTGTAGTTAAGTAAGACTTGTACTCTTTATATTAGCCTTGTACACTTTATTAGGTTTGAGGATGATGAATATATACAAGTCTGAAACTTCTCTCTCTCATATATATAAATGTGAACACAGTTAAAGCATATAGAAATTCAGAAACCATTTTGGGTGTCTTCAATGATATTTTTAGCCTTTGTATTTCAGTTAGTGGAGATTCGAATTTCGACTTGTATTTTCATGTTGTGTACACATGGATACACAAATGTATATTGTATAATTCTTACCGTTTATTTTCAATTTATGGAATTGAAAATTCAAAAAATCATGGGAACAGATTCAAATTTCTTTTAGTGAAGTGCTATTAGTATACATGTATAGAACATGTTAATAGCACCATCTGCTATATGATATGATATAATTGCGTAGATTTTGTGTAAAATTTATTGTATTTTTTCCTCACAAGTTGAATCATCATCATCCTTGCCTTTTTCCCAAATAAATGGGGTCGGCCATTTTTCCTTATAAATTATGAACCATCATCATACTTACCTTTTTCCCATAGAAATGGGGTTGGCCATTTTTTCCTTACAAGTTATGAATATAACTCATGGTATTTATGGTGTTGTTTCTTGGTGGTCTCAGGTGCGAGTTCAATCAGATCCAGCTGGACGTTTGGTTATAACTGGTCAGCCTGAGCAGCTTGACAATCCATGGGGTATCACAGCCTTTAAGAAGGTGTGTCATTGAATTAAATGTTGATTGAGAAAATCTGAAACTCGTTTGATACTATAAGAACTGTGCATGGGCCAATGAGCATTGGCCTAACAAGAAATAGACACCACCTTGTTTCTTTTAGGTGTTCAATGAACTTCATTATATTATCATTATATATATACTTTGTGGTCCTGGTAAGATGATCACATCATTCCTTAAGGTCCTGGATGCTTGAGAACGGCTATTGGGCATACGTTTCATGATACTGCTTGGGCTAAGAGGTCTGCGGTTATCATTAGAACTTAAATAACCACTTCAGCATTTTATCTATTTTTCCGGTTCTTTTGAAAATCAAATTTTTGCTGATTGCTCCTGACATTGCAAATAACTTCAAGATATCCCAAATGTGCAACTAAGAGTACAGCCTCTGATTGCCATTAGTAGTGATGAGAAATTACAAACAAACCCCTAACTTGACAAATGTTGCTTTATTAAGTAATCTATCCATTCAATAAGATCATGCCAGGTGCCTATAAAATAAAGAAAGTAAAAAACTTGCCAAAAACCTATCTGTTTTTATTAGCCCTGTCCTCATCTAGAATTAGTCTCTCTTCTGAGCTTAGTCACTGGAGCTTCAACCATCTCTGGGAGCATCACAAAATTCTGTTACATCATGTCCCCATTGAGCTAATTGAAATTATGGGCAATGCCTATATGAAGCACACGAGTTCACATAATTTGTGTGGATTTGCTGGCAGTTGCGGGTGTAGAGCTGTCTCTGACGATTACTAAACAATTCGATCAAAGTTGTTTCAGAAAGGATTACTTCAAAATATCCTCTCTGTGCTCCTCCAGTACTCCTCTGCTCTTCCTTTTCTTTAACTTCTCTATCTTCATGCTCTCCCTCCCTCCCTCCCTCCCTCCCTCCCTCCCTCCTGTTATTCTGCTCTTTTGCATCCTGTTTCTGCTATTTAACTGTGCGAAACCCATTCCAAACCCACATATACCAGTCACTTTTACGCATTGGTTTGGAGTAGGGAGAGAAGCATTTATGCCGCCATCCTTGGTCTTTCCGTGGTTGTTTCTCTTCCATTAACTGCATCTTCTTATTCTCCTTTAGTCCAATCAACATTATGAGCCCTAGTTAGCATTTCTTGGTGTATTCTCTGCGTTTGTTTTCTCTTCTGGGTTTATCTTTATTAGAGAGTATGCAGAGTAAAAAGAAAGAAAGAGGAATAAGTTATCTGTTTTGGTGAACCCTAATTTGCGGATTCAGAGTGAAGAAGATCGTGAGGTTTCATTACATTTGAATTTTCAAGTTCTTAATTGCTCTTCTACTCTGAAATTACAGAGCAATTACAACCATTTAACAGATGCAGAGGTATCATATTAATACTTGTCCAGACCCTATTCCTTTATACACACACACACATACTGTAAAAGTGTATGTGCGTTGCCCATGATTAAAAATCTAATTGTAACAAAATTATAAACTAACTTGTTAGGAAAAAGGTTTCATGTGTTGGCATATTCCGTAAGCAAAAGTTATTTCTTAGTCTATATGTGGTGTCATTTTAGTGGAAGTTTCGCATTGAAATTGAAACTATGATTGTATATTGAAGACGAAGCTGGACGATCACATCGACATCCTACTTCAAGCTTCATCAATCACACTACATAAAGAAGGTAAGTAACCTAAGAGACTATAGGTTCTGGGCTGATTAATTAATAATTTAGTTTTTTATTTTATTTTTTGGTAAGTAAGATTTTATAAAGGCGCTCAAGAGCAAGTTTGCAAGCCCATCAAGTTGGGTGGTTTGGGTATTCGGAGGTTGGTTCCTTTTAATCAAGCTCTCTTGGGTAAATGGTTATGGAGATTCGGCAGGGAAAGGCATCACCCTTGGAGAAGGCTCGTTTCACGTCGTTTTGTCGAGGAGAGTGGCGGGTGGTCTACTCGTCCAGTCTCTATTGCGGGAGGAGTTGGTGTGTGGAAATCCATTCGGAAGGGTTGGGATGTTTTTTCTTCCCATATTAGATTTAAGGTGTATAACGGTAGATATGTTCGTTTTTGGTAGGATTTATGGTGCAGTGATCAGTCGTTATCTTGCACCTTTTCAAGTTTGTACAACATCGCCACCGATAGACATGCCTGCGGAGTTGACTGTTATTAGCTTGATAGTAGTGGTATTATGTGGGATGTGAGCTTTCGGCGTTCCTTTCAGTATTGGGAGATGGACGAGGTATGTGTTTTTCTGGATATATTGAATAAACAGGAGGCAGTTGGCAGAGGTAGTGATGATATTAGGTGGATCCCCTCGTCCCATGGTTGATTTGAAGTACGATCCCTGTTTCGATGCCTGACCAACTTCATTGGCATTGATTTTCCATGGAAGACCATCTGGTGTTCTACTGCTCCTCCTAGAGTGACATTTTTTGTTTGGACAACTGTATGGGGCAAGATTTTAACGATTGACAATTTGAGGAAGAGAGGTAATTGTATTGTTAATTGGGGCTGCCTTTGCAAACGAGATGTTGAGTCAGTGGATCATATCCTCTTGCATTGTCCAGTGGCGTACGATTGTTGGAACCTTATATTTGGTTTATTCGGTGTGTTTTGGGTAATGCCTGGATCTTCCAAGGGATTGATTAACACATGGAGGGGATGCCGCATGAGAAGTAGTGTTCGCAACTATTGGAGGACAGTTCTACATTGCGTTTGGTGGTGCATTTGGAAGGAGAGAAATAGTAGAATGTTCGAAGGGAAGGAGTCGTCCATGGTGACGCTGAAACTTCATATTATTCGTTCTATTTTTAGTTACGTGAAGAGGACTTCTTGCTCCTCTTCTGATGACTTAGTTAATTTTTTGGATTCTTTGGGTCCTTAGAACTTGGTTCCACTCTTGTTATGGGACGCGTTCCCCTTTTGAACGCTTCTTAATCGATTATTATTTATCAAAAAAATAAAAAATAAAAGGCGCTTAAGGGAGGAGCGCTTCTAAAAGAAAACACAACACACCAAAGGCGACAACTATAATTTCAAGCTATCCACAAATCCAAAAGATGCCCCATAGATTTACATTTACGCCCATTAACCCAAAAAAATGAAGTAAACAATATATTGCATTTGAGAGGCCAAATAGGAGTCTCCTCTCCATCAAAGGATCTCTTACTTTTCTTGCGCCACAAACATCATCATAAGCAAAGGGGAGTGGCCTTCCAAGCATATCTGGCTTGGCTCCACCAAACACCTTCTCAAAGCCTCGATCATATCCACTGTGGATCCGGGGACGCCCAAAACATGCCAAACGCAACCAAGAACATAGACCAAACATCCTTTGCCATTGGGCATTGAAGAAGGAGGTGATTCACTCTTTCCTCCATCTTTTTGCACATATAACACCAGTTAACCACAATCTGCCATCTCCTTCTTAGATTGTCGAGGGTGAGAATGCTTCCGAGAGTAGTAGTCCAAGCAAAAAAAGATCCCTTCACGGGGCCTTTCAACTTCCAAATCGTCTTCCAAGGGAATGTAGGACTTGGGATCTCCGTCAAACTCTTGATAAAAAGACCTAACCTCAAATACCCATCTCGGGGTGCCCATCCACACCATCTCATCCATCCCCACACCCTCCACCACCTGGCTCAGTGACCTTCGTAAACTCCCTACCTTCGAAGCATATCTGGCTTGGCTCCACCAAACACCCTCTCCAAGCCTCGATCATATCCACTGTGGATTTGGGGACGCCCAAAACATGCCAAACGCAACCAAGAACATAGACCAAACATCCTTTGCCATTGGGCATTGAAGAAGAAGGTGATTCACTCTTTCCTCCCATCTTTTTGCACATACAACACCAGTTGACCACAATCTGCCGTCTCCTTCTTAGATTGTCGAGGGTGAGAATGCTTCCAAGGGTAGCAGTCCAAGCAAAAAAAGATCCCTTCACGGGGCCTTTCAACCTCCAAATCGTCTTCCAAGGGAATGTAGGACTTGGGATCTCCGTCAAACTCTTGATAAAAAGACCTAACCCTAAATACCCCTCTTGGGATGCCCATCCACACCATCTCATCCATCCCTACACCTTCCACCACTTGGCTATAGAGCAAAGCTAAGAACTCTGTGACCTTCGGAAGCTCCCAATCATGAAACTCTCTACGAAAATGCACGTCCCAAGTCATCCTCCCAAAACCTGATGTGCCTCCCACTCCAAACTCCGAACTGGATGTAATAATTTAGTTGATTTAGAATATCCTAATTGTTCATGAAAAAATTGGTTAGTATTGACTTAGGATTAATTAGGAAACTTCAATTAATGGAGTTAATCTAGAACTAATTATTAATTAGTTTATTTAATTGGGAAGTTGATTTAGAAGATCCTAATTATCCATGAAAAATTGGTTAGGATTGACTTAGGATTAATTAGGAAACTTGATTTTTATTTTTATTTTGATAAGTAGGATTGTATTGAAAAAGAGTTCAAAAGGGGAATGCATCCCGCATAGGCAACACAAGGCCAAATAGGGCCTCTAAACTCTCAAAGGAGTCCAAAAACGTCAACTATCTCCTCCATGGATTTACAATTTGTCCTTAGAACCCAACAAAAAAGATTGCTAATAATGGAGAACTTCAACGCACCAATAGGATTTTCCTTTCCATCAAAGGATCTCGTATTTCTCTCGAGCCATAAACAAAAAGGGCATAATCTTCCAGAATTACTCAACACCCTCTCTAAGCCTCCACCAAGTCTCTTGAGGACCTGGGCATAACCCACTAGAATCCAAACAAACCCAATAGCATTACCCAACAGTCCCAAGCGAGGGACAATGCAAAAGAATTTGAATCAATGTAGTTAATCTAAAAGGAATTATTAATTAGATTATTTAATTAGGAATGAATTTTGAAACTTTAGTAGTGTGGGTTAGGTGCTGTTTGATAACTCAATTCAGCATTTAATTTTGAACGAGTTAAGCACTTAATACTGAAGGGGTTAAGTGCTTATTTAATTAAGTGCGTTTGATAA